ATCCAGAATGGAGGCAAGTGGGAGGTAGGGACGCAAGTGTGAGGCAGCCATCTGCTACTGTCGGTGGCCGATTCCTGAGCAGGCGGGACCAGCTGCCAACTCAGCGGCCTAGTCAGGCTGTGCAGTTTGGGAAATCGTCCTTGGAAGCCCAGTCCAGAGTCTCTCTTCAACCCTCCTCATAATTCTATAAGCCACTTAATTCCCTGTGGTAATCCCTGTCTGCTTCCACTGGTTAGAGTGGATTTATTTCTCTGTAGGAGCCTTAATTGAAGGCAAAACCATGATGTGATGGGGTGAGACTAGGTGCTCCTGTGGGCAGGGAGGTCTGGAGCTGTTCTCCCTGAGGCCTGTATGACAGAAGAAGCTGGCACAGTGAGAGTTCTTTAGGTAGAGGGAGCTGAAAGTGCAAAAGTCTGGGTTGTGTGTAAACTGGGAGTGTCTTGGTGCAGGGAGGCCAGTGAAGGCTGAAGAGGAAAGTGAGGGGAGAGAGAGTGGTCTGGCTGGAGAGAGCCACTAAACTGCTTGGCTCCATTCCTGGAGTACTGTCTCAAGGACCAAAGCCACCTTTGGAGGGCAAGTGTGTGCTGAGACTGTGGTCTCTGGCAGGAGCGAGGTTCTCAGTGCATGCCTGTGAGTGAACAGGCAAAGAGAAGAGCAGGGAGGCATGTGGGCGGGCATATGCAGGTATCTGCACCAGGGTCCTCTGGGGAGCAAGAGATTGATGCCTGGAGCCTAAGCACTCTGGAGGAGACAGTATGCCTGTGGGAGAGAATTCTGAATCTGAGTCAGCAAACGTGGCTGGGAGCTTGGCTCTGCCAGACCAGGCCTGAGGTACCTGGGCCATGCCCTAGGGAGGGGCATGGGCAAACCCTGAAAGGACTGTTGCTGTGCCAGACCCAGAGGGCCCCAGGCCAGAACCCAAGTAGAAAGGCAAAGAAGGCCTTCCCTTCCTAGCTGGGACCCCAGCATCCCTTGAGGGCGTCTTGGGTTCTAGGGTCCGTGGCAGGGCATTGCCCAAGGTGGAACAGAGCATGACTGAGAGTGAAGGGCATGTTCTCTGTGTGCCGCCTGATCCAAGCAGCTCACACACAAACCCACAGAAGTCCCACACCCACCTGCTCAGATCCAATTTAAGCTGCACAAACTCCAACCCACCCCCCTGCCCAGTTGGGAAGGGAACTTTGGAGCACCTTGTGGTTGTCCAAAAGTCCAGCATTAGCAACTCATTTGGGTTAACAGACACCTTTTAAAAACCGTCCACACCCTGGGAGTGGGCAGCCTATAGACTGCTCGTACTGCACCTACACTGACCTGAGCTACAGCGAGCAAGAAAGACTGTGGGAGCATACAGGCCTGGGGGTTGGATATGGATGAAAGGGCTGCTCTGCCAGCTGTAGCCACAGTCCTGAGCCAGGCTTCAGGAAACCATCTCAGGGCGAGTGGCTGAGAAGTACCTCCAGGAAGGCCTGTCCCCAGAGGACCCTGGTCCTACTGTCAACCAATGAACTAGACTATTAGTAAATAACAGAATTCAGTCTACAAAATGTATCCTCTCCAATCCTAGCCCTTGCAGTCTTGGGTCTATTAGGGTCACACCTGTGTCCCTTCTCTGAGATGCAATACGTGTTTAATGAATGGAAGAACTTGCCATGTGTTGAGGTGGGGGGGTGCTCCGGCCTGCTTGCACAGAGGAGTCCCTCTGTGTGGGGGACACACTGTAAATTGATATCCCCTGTGATCATCAGCAGGAGGTAAGATACAGCATACTGGTTTACAGAGGAGGAGCCTGAGGGTCAGAGGGATTCCCAGCAAGTCCATGAAAGCATGGAGTCATGCAAGCTGACTCTTTAACTGGCTAGGGGTCCCTGCCTCCATGCAGAAATGGCCCCACCTGAGACCCCAGCCCAATCCAACTCAAGGGGCCACAGATTCCAGAAATTAGGTCCACCTGTCCCCAGACCTCTCCTGTGCCTTTCTCTAAGCATGGCAAAGAACCTTTCCCATGTCCCATAGTGTCCCAAGAACCTTCTCAGGCATGCTTTTGGGGGTCACTCTCATCAACAAAGGAAGTTACTCCCTGGTCACTCTCCTTCTGGCCCTCCAAACCAGCCTAGTCCTTTCTGAGGCAGTCCCAGGCAAATCAGCTGTGGCCCTGCCTGGAGGCACCTCAGGACTATGACCTCACAGCGGCACATCCCAGCTACAGCCTCAAGTCACAGAGCCTTTCTGAGATGGGCATGAGGGCAAGGGGCTGGAAGAGTAGACTCCTGATGCTACTGGGGCTGCGTTTTGCTCTCCTTAGCCTTCTGTAAAATGGAGTGAGCCCCAGGGCTGCTGTACCTGGGGTGAGAAGGGGACTGCGACACTCTTGGCTTCCCAGTACAAAATACTTCCTACTTCTTCCCCCAAACCCAGAATTAGCCACTTCTCCAAGGATCCCAGGTTCCTTTCAGGGGTGTGTGGTGCTTAAAAACCAAGGTCTGGGGCCAGGCATGCTCACTGTTGGGGACTTTTGCTGCTCCCAGGCCCTCTCAGCAGACACAGCTAGGAAGGGTGCGGTGTGCATCCTTACACATGCACATACGTCTTCACCCCTCTCACCTGAAAAGTACAGGTACACGCAGAGACCGCCAGTTCCTCTTCCATGACAAGGCTCACCCTAGCCTGCCCCTTCTCTCCTCTGCAGCTCCTGTCTTCGGCAGTAAGAAGCCCCCCCAGGGTGCCATGGTCTGTCTAGTCCTAGGACACACAGTGCAGTTGCAGAACCACCAGCCCGTGCCTCTGTGGGAGAAAAGCTGTGGTTAGAGTTCAGAGTCTGTTGGGAGCAGCAGTTATCTGGGCTTGCTGTGGAGGCCCCTGGAGGTCCCCAAGAGCCTTCCTGCTGGTTGGTGAAGTCCAAGGCACTTCCACAGGTGCAGCTTTCACCCTCATGCTGACTGGGTACAGTGACTTCAGAGGATGCACACCAGAGCCACAACTGTACAAGGCTGGACTTTCCTCATAGATTCCAATAAGCACAGCACATCCTGCCAGACTAGATGCAGGAGCAGGGAGGAGAGTCAGACGACAAACACAAAGATTTGCACAAAGACAGGACCATTCAACTTTTCTAAGGTTTTCTGCTCTTCATAAAATATTATGCTATTTATACTAACATGTAATCGCATTATTTTGTTGCTTTTAAGCGAATTAATAAGTGTTCTGAAATTTCTGCTATGGTTCAGAAAATGGTGAATATCAAGAGGTATAATCCACACAAACAGAAGTTCTTTGGGGGTCCTCAATAACTTAAGAATGTAAAGGAGTCCTCGGGCCAAAAGGTCTGAGAAGCTGAGTCCGAATTTGTCTGTGGCCTGAGGTCCCGGAGTCTAAAGACTGCATTCAGAGCCGCTGCTCTGTGGTTGTGTTGTTTACTTGAAATACAGGTTAGGTCATTTGGTTTTGTTTGCATTCTATCCTTGTTGATTCTACTTTATTTTCTCTCTTTCTTTTTGAATATGTGAGACATGGACAAGGTTCCAAAAACTGGGATGTGTTTTGTTTAAGCTGAAGTGTTCCCTGGGTGATTCTGATGAGCAGACTGGGGAGCTTGACAGAGACCATCTCCATTCTCCGTCCTCCACTCGTTTCCAGGTCCCATGACTGCGGCCCTTTAATATTTTCCTAACGTGGAGCAGCAATAAACTTCAGAACCTGATAACCATCCCAGAGGGAAGGAAGTGACTGGACCC